TTTTCCATGTTTGCCCTCTCTCGATGCGAAAGAATTAACTTGGACGGAAATGAAATTTGTTACAACGTTGTACTTAGTCCTTTCATATTTGTTGTCAGTAATTTAAAAGACATTTTGAAACACATATGGAATGATAATAATTTTTTTTAAATATAATAACACAAAAATGAAAAGGGAACTTGGGTACATTTATCGAGAGCCACAAATAATCCTTCAAAGAGCCGCAGGTTGGCCACCCCTGATGTATAGTATATATGTTTTACCTTTGTATTTTATAAAATAAATCAGAATTTAAACAATATTAATTTTCAGAATTTTCCTTTTATATCATTATTCTTCAATTTCAGTATTCTGACAACCTTTTCCTATGATCTAATTTCGTATTGGATGGGGGAAACTTTTATAAACAATTTTTATATATTTCAACTCTAAAATGGATGCAAATTTGAAATATGTAATAAAAAATACGCAATTTTTGAACCTATTTTGATGATAAAAATTACGCAGTGAGAGGGTTATTGATTTTTTTGTAAAATGCAAGGAAAAATCGTAAGTTAATGGATATTTCTGATTATTCGTACCTTCTGAAAAAATATTTAGCATCCAACGCTGTACATTACCAAAATAGGCAATCCATGAGTTCATTTTTTCCATCATAAGGAATTGTAATGGGACCATGGAGTTTGCCAGCTGATGATAAAGAAAGCATTGCACTTCTTCAGAAATATATCAATTTGCCTAAGAGTGGAGAATGCAAAAATTTGGATTCCATGAAGTTTTCTTCCTAAATGATCAAATCTTATAAATCAAAGTTTGCGTGCCAGTGTCAAATCTGCCCAATTTTCTGGTCTTTTTTAAAGGGAAAACAAATTACAGTACATTTATAAAAACAACAGTGTATGCATTCCCAAATTGCGCAATTCTGTGATTTTTTCAAGACAAAAAAAGATATGTATGGAGAAAGTGGCCATGTGTGCAGTGCCAAGCTGTGCTGCAAGTGTCTACCTCTGATATTTTTTAAAACTAAAACAAATTGCTGTGTAGATGAGGTGGTGACTTTCTAGATAATCAGAAAGTACCCAGCTAACTTAGTAAGTAATTTTCACAAAAACTAAACTGGATTATCGAGAATTGATTGGGTTTTTGTAAAACCTAGGTAAAGATCTTATAATTATATGTATTTTGATATTATGAGTTATTAGCATTAAATCACAATGTTTGGTGACAGTTTTTGTTTATTTTGTATTATAATCCTGAAGGTACTTTTCTATTTCTCCTATGCAAATCTCGCCAAGCAGACTTTATTGGCAACAACACGCACTATACACATAAAAAATGTTAGCAAATATTAGTTCTAAGAATTTTTTATTTTGAAGGCATAAACATTTTATTATTGTTTAAAATTTTGTAAAAAGAAGATAAATTTACTATGCTTTCATGGTACACGTCCTGATTCACCGGTCCATATCATGCGACCCCAAATGATCTCATCTCACGTAAACTACGCTACAAAAATCTAATTCTCTCAGTAATTATCTACATTAATTTCAAGTTAAATATTAATATGGAATAGAAGTTTAAATGCAAGAATAATTTTAATTTGTATGAATAGCTTACTCAGAAATTATGTAAAAAAAGTGATTTTTAAAAAAATTCTAAAAGCAGTGTATGTTTAAAGTGCATATATCACACACCCATCTGGAAGATTAATGCAAGCGGCAATGCACCAGTGCATCACCCGGCTGCTAGTGACATTTGGGAACGATACATATATGACACACCTGTCTCCAAGGAGTTTCTCAGTTCAGCAACATTCTGTTGCGCAGGGGTTAATCCTAATGTTAATCCTAAGACAACTACCTTCAGCACATCTAAACTGTGTCATTGACATAAGTCTTTCCCTGCAGTTTCTGTTCATTGCTGTAAACTTTTGCCGAATCACTGTCCAGAACTCAAACAAAGAAACCAAGTTTATAAATAGCTCCAACGCTTTCACTTTTTCACCTGCTGCTGCCAGGATAATCTATATGTCCTGCTTCACTGTTTTTCTTTTTATACTGTCTAAAATGTAAGCTGTATAGGCAAAATTGTGAAATATCTTGTGAATTGCATCCATAAGCATGTGTGAAGTAAATATTGTCTCTCTAGAACTACTTTATTGAACAATAAAATTCTGCTGAGTTTGGCCACGTCTGTCTGCAACTCTGTCATTTCATTTATGCAAGAACCATTGCAATTCCATTACAGCTATCATCTGCAAAGTAATTTCGATCATGACTAGAAAATGCACTGGTTTTGTCTTCCTTAGCTAACTAGCTAACTCTACTAAGTTGTATCAACTACTAAGCTGTATCAACAGGAACCACAGGACTACTGGCCGCTGAATCGCTAGGATGAGATGTTCGTAGAAAACTAAAGTGCATTCATTTACCCTGTTAAAGAAAGAGTTACTACTATACAGTATTACGTCATGGACGCTGAGTTATTTTCCTTATTTCATGAAAACTCATTTGAGTACTGCAACAGGAACGATGTGACAGAATGTTGAAAGAACTTTCAACCAATTACAAAAACGTTACACGTAATAATTATATTGAACTGGAACAACCACCATTGTGAGATAATATCCTCATCATAACTCTTTTTTCATACTTTCCTTAAAGAGCATTTGTCATTCTATAGAATGCCTAGATATTATATACAATGCCTAGGTAAAGTACGTAATAATTCTCTTATTTCATACTTTGCCTAAAATTGTCCAGCATTGTGTATTTCATTCTTTGCCGGTAACATATATAATAAAAAGATTTGGTTCTCTTTGTAATTATTAATTCTTAGTGAATACTTGTATTTTGTATAATTTTGTTTTGGTGATAAAATGTTTATTTCGATTTTGGTTACTTTTCTAAAATAAAGCAAATATTTTTGAAATGTAACTGCTATTAAGTAGCAATGAAAGCTTTCTTAGCCTTAAATTGCTATGAAGGCACTAAATAAATTGTGAGTCAACATAAACTGTGAGTAAAAAAAAAAAAAAAATCTGATGTGTACACCACATGACTTCCTTGTACGGAATATTAAATTATACGCATTTTTTCTTGCATTTTATTTAAACTTATTAGATTGAATTAAACCTACTTCGCCGACAGCACATAAACTACAATAGAATAAATTCATTCTTTAAAATTCACTTTGTTTACCATAGCGACACTCTGGTGCTAGGTTTACTTAACAGTATTATATTTCATTCATATTATAACTCAGAATGCACAAAATGTATATCATTTAAAGAATTATCTAATCGTTGCCACATGTTCTATTCAAATACTGTAATAATGCTAGAACTATGTATAAAAGAAATTAAGCAAACAAAACAAAACAGAAACAGTTTTTCACAGACGATTGAGTATTTCTCATTTAATTAATTCAGTTCTTACTTTGCAAGAAGGCAAAAATACATAAAAACTCAAAATATCTATATTAAAAATTACGAAGTAAATCTCAAACGCTTATTTCCTCGAAAAAATTCCAGAAAGAATTAAGCATGATTTAATTGGCAATAATAAATAAATGCGTTATCTTTGTTGTTGCAAAGCTAAGTTTCTCTAGATTGGCAACAAATCCACTAGTCTCCTGTTTTCCTCTCCTGTTTCAAAAATGTAAACATCAATGGCCGCCATTAAAAACACGCTTAGCGGCAATTAAACAACTTTAAAATTGCTGATAATTCTAAAAATATTGCACACAGATTTGCTAAAGGCATAAAATCCTTAACCGGAAGATAAAAACAACATAATTCAATCATTTTTAAAGCAAAAAATGTACAATTTACAAACATATAAGAGTAAAGAAACTGAGCAGGGTAATAGAGTGGATATATATATAAATATATTTATATACGTTTGGTGCTGCCGATTGCAACAAAAATACGAAGTGCACATCTACATGTTATAGCAGTGCTATATAGAAAATTTCAACGTTCTGAGGGTACTCGTTTTTGAGTTGCGAGATACGTACATACGCACGAACGTACTTAGGTATGTACATACGTTCGTACAGATGCCACGAAAATTCTCTTCAGAATTAATTTTAAAGCAGTTTTATATTTCTTTTTTGAAGGAAAAGAGTATTTTATTTTGTCCTTACGTACAGATATGACGCAAAAACATCGTTAAATTGCATTCGATAGCGGTCAAAATGGATATTTTCGTTGAAATATGCTGCCTGAAACTCGTGATTACAATACTTCCTTTTTACTTCGTACAAGGAAGTAAAAAGGAATTTACAAGAATTGAAAGCCATTGTGTAGGTTTAAATGTTACTCTTTGTACATGTAGCACAAAAGAGTAATAAGGTAAGCTCACTTCAAAAGGCAGGAATTGATTGCTTTTAATCATGCCTTCCAAAACAACTTTCCACTTTTCTGCACATTTTCGCCAGTATATCTGGAGATTGTGACCCCTCCTATGTGAATTTCAGCCTTTTAGCATAGCGCTGGACCACATGCTGCAGGTTTCATCATCTGTGAAATCTCAGAATTAGCTTTCTTCATGCAAAGAACATAATGTGGCTTGCTTAAAATCACCTTGTACCTCTTTTTCTCTTCAGATTTTAGAATTTTAGTACAAATATTGTAAATGATTTTATGCTGAGTTTATGCATTTCTGCAACTTTTTTTAGCAAAAACAGATCGCTGTGTTCTTAAGGAGAACAACGACACTAAAAAACTGAGAAGTGTATGTATTTTGTATGGAAAAAGAGGAAGACAAAGAAATAAACAGCACTGTGCATTGTTGAAATAGATATAAAAATACTATTACCAAATGTTCCTGTCGGGTTAACAGTGAGCTTATGAATGCTTTCCAAAGTCACCAATGAAAGCATGACTTTTTGGTAGGGGTGCAGATAGTCAGAAAGAATGTAAAGTGTATAATATAATGTATCATTTTTACAGGTTAAAAAAAGTTATTTACATTAAATTTATATTTAACATTTTTCAGATAAATCCACTCATCCCTTATTTAAAGCAGAAGCAGCGAGAGGTACATGCCGAGTGATGTGTTTTCATCCGAAATCAAACATAACTCTCCCTTTAATGTCTTTGGATGAAATTCTTGAGGTTATTAACACTTGGGTTAAAGAAATATTAGATCTTGGTACCAATTACAGATGGGTTCAAGTATGACTTTTGAATATTCAATAATTATATTATAATTATATTACAGGTTTTTTTATTAGATATCGGATGAGAATTATGTTATATTGCAGATCTGAAAACTCACTAAGCATTATAGTTTTTTTAATTGATTTGACAAAATCAAATGACATCACAATAGAATTACAATGATGATCTGTTACTACATTTTAAAGAATTTCATCCAACATTCCATGCTGAGTACTTATGTATAAAATTATTCTTTAAACTAGACTTGAGTATAGTTTTGAGTTAATGCAAGAAAATGTCTTCTCTCTTAAAACACATTTATAAAAAGTTCTGTAATAAACAAATTACAAAATCACCGAACCATAGTTTAATGTATAAGGGAAACCCTGTGGCGTAATTTATTCTTAAACACTTATGTGGCAGGCAATATTGCCAATAGCCCTACATTGTCCTTTAGGGAGTTCTACTCTGAAAGTATAGCTGTTACAACAGTCATCTTAAAATTTTAAGAAATTCGCGTAAATCACTTTGTTTTGTATTTTTCCTGCTTCCATATTGATAAATAGTGCAAATTCCTTATTTTCATAATGTCATAGGTATATTCCATAGAAAATCCCATTGATGCAAATAATACATTCATGATGATAATTAAATGTTTGCTACATTTTCTGTAAGATATCTTTTGTCTTCACAGTATTTGAAATGTGATTTTTGAGGTCCTACAGGTTTGGAGAAATAATAACGAAAGTGCATTTTCAACACTGTCCAAAAAAAAATGTCGCATAGCATATGATCCAGTGATTTTAGAAGCCAGCTGCAGAGCATGAAGTCAGTGAAGGGATAAATATAATGCCAACCCAGTACAGTACAAAGTCCGAAATCCGGATGTCCATTATCCGGAATGATCTAAAATCCGCACCCCAAAATCTCCAACAATGTTTTTCTCCTAGGCTTTATGCATGCGCATTTGATGCCCCCTCGACGTATAATAAAACATGTAGAGTGTCCCGATTCTTAATTTCACTTTGACACTAAATAAAATACCTTGCTATTGAAGAAACAAACATTTCAGCATAAATTTGTACGATCAGTAATTTGGCTCCATTGCTGCATATCTGCTTTTTGGGTCGCATCTCAAACTGAAACATTCCACAAAGATACATCGCTGATCTGACGTCATCCTGACGAATCATTATTTATTATACTTTCCTTTCATCACCACATGTTTATCAAAACATGACAACTTGAGTAATGACTCGTATAGTGATACCTAAACAGTTTTTTTTTTATGTTAGTAATTTAATAATAAAGGAGTATAGTAACCTTTTTATGTTGAGGTTATGCTTGGTGATGATTATAGATTTAAGTTAAATGTGCTAAAAAATGTTGACGAGGAGAAATTTACCAAAAATTTCTTTCCGTATGCTAAAAATAGATTTTGTCGATGATACTCCTAGACCCAAAGATTACATTTAGGGCTATTTAAATTAAGAATAACTGATTTGTTATTCACATAAACCCAGAACCAGCGCCAGAGCTCTTATGGGTGCACAGAGTCTTAGAATTTAGAACCCACAGAGACTGCATCAGGCAGTAAGATATCTAGCCTTGGCCCTCAATAAGGCTGAAGTATATGTGGGAATTTATTTATTCAAAACTCTGATAAGCCTTAAGCATGTGCAAGAAGTAGAAATAAGTATAATAAATAACTAAATACAATTCAGGTTTAATTGTCTCAGTGTGCGATAGAAGCAAAATAAAATTTAACGGAACAACTTGTTGTTAGTCGCCAAGCTCATGATGCATAGCCAAATATGTGTAGTGAGGGATAGGTAAATTTGATGACGATAGCCGCTAATTTTAAAGGTTTTCAGATATCGTGAAACAAAGGTGAAATTTTTTGTAAAAAAATGTGGAGAAGTGGCAATAAATGAAGATGATATAAAGGACGTTTTTCATTGTGATGACAATGCTTCTCAATTATGAATGGTGAGATCTGTATTTTGGTTCTGGATTTAGAAAATATCGGTACTAATAGGGTAGAAAGTGACAGAGAAGTTACTGAAAACGAGAAAATTTTGATTGACAAGTTAGTTGGAATTCTTGAAACAGCAGTTACAGGACTTCAACAATGTAACTAAACAAGAGATTATGTCTATCTACAGAATTAAAGAGAAAGTATTAGCAGGAAAAACGTAGCAACTGAAACAATTTACATTGAAAGAAATGTTTAATAGGGTAAACAAATAAGTATTAAGGGCCTTTTTCCCCTCTAAATTTTGATAGTCTTTAGATCATAAATACTTCATTATTTCATAAATCACTATTTCATATTTTTAATTTTATAATTTCTACATGCCATCTTACTAGATTTAAACTGATGATCTAATATCTGGAAAAATCCCATATCCGGAATCGCGGAAGTCCCGACGAGTCCGGATTTTGGACTTTGTACTGTATTAAGGAAGAAATTCACTAAAACTCTCATTTATATTAGAATGGTATCCAAATACTGCTAAGGATCTGTGTGTAATATATCGATTATTTGATATAATTTTTGCTTAACAAACAAATTTTATGCATATGTAATTTTTTGATATTCTGAATTAATCTTATTTCAAATAGTGTACAATAAATTTTATTTCACAAAGATTTAAATGTAAAAATTTTGCCCCAGACTACTTTTTTTTTTTTTTTTTAAATTTCTGATGCAATGTTCCCTTGAGGACAAGATCCTTAAGTTTTAAGAAAATCAATGAAATTACAGAAAAACATAAACTATATAAAAAGTACAAGTGAACATACAGATTGTAAGTGTGCAGGTAAGGAAAGTACATGTAAAAATTCTGTTATTTTTCAGTAACAGTTAAAATCTACTTAACAGCCATGAACTGGATAAAATTCAATTGGCATGCATAACTTAGAAGCAACATTAAAAAAAAAAAAAAAAATCTTAAATAAAAATATTGATGTTTTTCAAAATAATTGCGGTCAGTCATGATCTTGGAATGACCTAAGCTGTTAGGTTGTAAGGAGAAAGCTGAAAAGTTGTTTCTTTTCAAGGCTTTCTTTTACATTCCACTGTATTCATGAATTTGGTCGTCTAAAAGTGTTTGATTTTTCTGTTAACTAATAGATACTGCATATTTATCCTACTCCAAAATTATATGATTATTGTTGTGCCTTTACAAGTGCATTCTCAATTTTGTTGCATGGTTTGCAAAAATGAGAAGGAGTCTAAAAAAAAAAAAAAATTGACATGAACTAGCTAATCTAGAAGCAATATATGCTTTTAAAATATTTGCTGCAAGTCTGTCTTGGTCTGGAACAACTTATAGAGCTGCAAGAGATTCTGATAATATTATGAGATGAGAAAATGAGCATCTGTATCATCATTGCAATAAAAGGGGAATTGAAATAGCTCAGGCTTTTCACTAAAGTTATACTAGAAGTTTCCCTAGACATGTAATAGAGAGCAGATCATAATATATGCCTATAGACATAGGCATTTATTGTGATTTACTTTGCTTTTCAATTTTTAAGCCATTTATATAAACATTATCAACTGAGGTAAGCGAGTATTAATTGAATTTATCACCACAGCAAGGAAGGTGTGAAGATCACAATCTAATGTTTTAAAGATTGAGATTGAATGTAATTTCGTTGTCTTGGTAAGATTTGTGAAGATGCAGCAATAGACTAGGACAAAACTAATGGTCGTATTTCAATATCCCCTTGAAAATCAGCTAAATGAAATCATCTGAGATCCTGATTTTTCTGGCGTGGTTAAAATTCTTAAAACAATGTAGTTGAGCCAGTTTTAACCAAGTTTATCAAGATTTTGTGATATGAGCATTAAATCAGAAGGCAATGATTATGAAAAAATAAGACAAACAAAACGTTGTATCAAACTCTGTTCTAGCTGTGATTTTAAACTCCCAAAGTTATATTTTAACTTCATATTCAGCATGCAAAAGAAATAGAAAATTTTTATTTTAATGTACAATACATAATATTGAATTTTCTACAAAATTACACAAGTTACAAAATACAAATTTCTTATCTTTGAAGTTTGTTACAGTTCTTTTCCTATTTGTCTGTTTAATCAAAGTTTTTTTAATAATTTTTTCATGTTTAAAAACACTTTTTTTAATTTCACTTATTTTAAATCATGTATTTTAAAGTTAGAACAAACATTCTTTCTTAAAACTGTCAAATACTGCCATTGTATTGAATAAGATTTGAAATTTTATATGTGTTATGACTTAATTTGTATTTAAATAAGGTATTTCCTTTCAGATCTTTGAAAATAAAGGTGAAATTATGGGATGTTCAAATCCTCATCCACATTGTCAAGTAAGAATTTATTTATATTACTACTCTTTTTGATTTTTTTTTTTTTAATTTTAACTTATGCATTACAACTGTTAATTTAAATATAAAATTTTGGGTAATGATATAGCATGCAATCTGCCAATTTTAGTTATCATTTATTTTTTAGATGGTGCCAATAAAATTAGATTTTTATTCATTTCTTTTTTGCACCACTTTATTGCATATTTGAATATGAAAACTATTGAATTTCTTATTTTTTGAAATTAATGCCAAAACAAAGAGATGTTGCAATACCCATAATCCAGCAGGAAGTAATACCTGGCTCAGTTATCATGAACTACCTTCTCATAAAGGCTAGTGTGAAGTATGCTCCTTCAAAATTGCTCCACATTAAAAAAAAAAAAAAAAAAAAAAAAAAAAAACCTCATTTAATTACATTATATTACATAGTACAGTTACATAGCAAATACACATAACACAGCTCTTTACACTACATTCTCAAAAGCCACGCCAACTCTCTCTCAAATCGAAACCTTTCTCACACATTTGAGGGGTGCTACAATGCCCTCTATGGGAGATCTCAACATACTTCCCACGGATGACCATTCAGGCCATCAAACTACCTCTTACAAAAAATGATTAATTAACATTATTCTTAGTAAACATATAATTTCTGGATTAAATAGTTCTTGCATATAAATGAGTAATACTAAGCCTAAACAACAAATAGATGTAAACAATGAATTATGCAAAATTAATAATATAAATAATAACATTAAAATTTAAAGAATTGAAATGAATATTGATGAATATCAACGTAAAGTTCAAATTTTTTCACGATACTTAACTGTCTATTGGTAGCACACACAATTTGTGAATGAGTCTCTTGAATTCACCATCTGCAGTTTTTAATTTTACTACACGAATTCTGTAATCATTATCTGGGTAAATTTCGGTGATAAGTCCCAATTTCCATTTTAAGGAAGGTGTGTTATCATCCTTAATGATTACTAGGTAATTTATTTTAATATTTGCTGAAGCACAATGCCATTTTGTGTGAACTTGCGGTTGAGTCAAATAGTCCTTAGACTATTTGCTCCAGAAGGACTGTGACATTTGCCGAACTAGTTTCCAATGATTGTGAAGTGTTAGTGTCTCGTCCCAAACATTTGATTCCGGAATAGCCTTTAACGATGTTCCTATCAAAAAATGGCCCTGTGTAATCACGGAAAAATCATCTGGATCACTTGAAATCGCTAACGGTCTTGAGTTCAGACATGCCTTGACTTCTGCTAGATAAGTAGCAAATTCTTCAAAAGTTAGAATTTGAGAACCAATTGCTCTTCTCATATGATATTTCATAGCCTTTACTGCAGCTTCCCACAGTTCACCAAAATGCAGCTCAGAAGGCGTATTGAAATTCCACTTAATTTCTTCCTCTATTAAGTATCTAGCTACCTTTTGGTCAGAACGATATGATTTGAGTTGTCTGTTGGCAGCTATAAAATTAGTGCCGCAATCATTATACATTTCCTCTCGTCTTCCACGTCTAGTAGTGAATTGTTTTAGAGCAGCTTTGAGGGAATCTGTCGCCCTGTCTTCAACTTGTTCTAAATGCACTGCCTTTGTACTAAAACATACAAAAACACAAACATAGATCTTCACTGCCCGAATACCGCACCCTTTCTTCAGTTTAACTTGGAAAGGACCAGAAAAATCTACACCACATTTTGAAAAAGCTCTTGCGAGATTCACTCTGGATGCTGGAAGATCACCCATTGTTTGATATGACAGCTCACTTCTATGTCGACAGCATGCTACACATTTGCAAATCATCTTGCAAATAGCTATTCGTGCATTAATAATCCAGTATCTCTGCTTGATTTTTGAATGGAGCATTTGCGCTCCTCCGGGAAGATATTTATAGTGATAATATCGTATTATCAGTTCTGTAATATAGTGTGATTTAGGAAGAATGACTGGATATTTTATATTCTGCGCGATGCTAGCATTTCTTAGTCGTCCTCCTGCTCTTAGAATACCTTCATCGTCTAAGAATGGATTCAACATATTGAGTTTACTGCAAGAACTCGCTAGTTTTTTTCTTTTTCAAATGATCGATTTCTTCACGAAATTCTTTCATTTGCACAGACTTGATTACCCAAGAATGTGCTAGGGCTAGCTCTCTCTAGTCTGGAGAAAATTTGATTTTGTCTTTGTTATTGATGACCGTTTCAAACTGGCAATAAATCTGAGACACCAAGCTATAGCTCGTAAAAGTTTCGTCCAAGAAGAATATTTATGAAGCATTTCATCAATCTCGTAATTCTTAATCACAGTAGTATGCGCAACACATTTTTTCTTCTCAGTTTCTACTACTTCCAATAGAATATCCTTCAGTGGATGCTTAGGGAAAAAACTATCCTTTCCTTTTAGCTAATATGGACCATACCACCAACGATCACCTTCTGACAAACATTGAGCTGGCACACCCCTACTAACTAAATCAGCAGGATTTTCCTTTCCACTGCAATGATTCCAAGACCTGAGATCTGATTTTTCCTGCACTTCAACTACTCTATTACCGACAAACTGTTTCCATTGTTTCGTAGAACCCTTTATCCAAAACAAGACAATCAAGGAATCGGTCCAATACACAAACTTATCAATAAGATCCTTAAAAACCTCTCTCAGATACTTTCCTATTCTAGCTCCTATGACTGCTGCCTTTAGTTCCAATCGTGGCAACGTCAATTTCTTCAAAGGAGCTACTCTGCTTTTCGACATGGCAAACGACACGGAAATGTCACCCTTATAATTTAAGTACTGACAGTATGCTACAGCACCATAAGCTATAGGATACGGATCGCAAAATATGTGTATTTCCATTTTTGAATTTACGTTCTCACAATATGCAAATAAATTTCTCGGAACTGAAATATCCTTCACATATTTAACCTGGGAACACCAGTTAGTCCACTTGATTTTAAGGTCATCTGGCAATTCCTCATCCCAACCAGTACCATGTTCCCAAATTTCCTGTAGCAAACACTTAATCCTAACTACAAATGGAGCTGCAAAACCAACTGGATCAAAAATCATTGCTGCAACATGCAAGACATAACGCTTTGTGCTCTTCAAACTCTCCATTTATCTTGCTATCTCTAACGAAAATGTATCATTTACTGAATTACAGTTCAAGCCTAAAACCTTCAACTGACAATCAGAAATATAAGTATCATTGCTAAGTCCATTCTGCATCCACAATGACCTCAGTTTCTCAGAATTACTTTTTAATTTTTGCAAAATCATACTTGCATCCATTAAAATCAACACAGCTACAGAAGACAACTTAAATGCCTCTTCAACACTATTTCCCCTAAAATATAAATCATCTACATACAGTGAAGAATTCAACATTTCAACACATTCAGGTTTATTATTCCTGTATTGCTTTAAGTGCTTTTTTATTGTTGCACTTAAAATAAATGACGATGACTTAAGAACTAAAAGGCAAATGTATCATACGCATTATTATGTAGTCTTCATTCCTATTTTCTGATAACAAGAACTTTTTAAAAATTTCCTATCCTCTTCTGAAATTCCAATCATCAAAAATGCTTTCTCTATATCAGCACAAAATGCAATTTTGAATTTCCTAAAATTTAAAATAACATCTAGTACATTGGGATTCAAAAATTCAGCCCAGTCTCTAAATAATCATTCAAAGAAAGATTTAGTTTCAATTTCGAACTACGATTGAAATCCACGCGAACTTTAGTAGTATCGGTTCTCACAACTGCTCTGTGTGGCATGAAATATTCCTTCGCATCCCTAGAACATTCTTCGTTATTCCTTCACTCTGCTGATCTTTAATTATGCCTTTGTATGCATTCGCCAACCATTCATTATTTTCAAAATTGTTTTTTGAGTCCTCAAGTCTTTTTTTAGCAAGACAAAAGTTATTTTTTAAATTCATTGGCTTTATTCTGCATAACAGACAAGTTTTGTATCTTCCATCTACAACCTCAAATTATCTTCAAATTTTTTAATCCAATTCTCATCTGCAATTGATAACTTATTAGAATCTGTAATCCCTAGAGATTCTAAATTCCATAGCAAACTGCATATCGGTGCCAAAGCAAAAATTTGTTGATACTATATTCCCCCAAATTTTATCCTCAGAATTATTATGTATTCTCTGCAGTTTAAGGCCAAAAACAGTTTGTATGCAGTTTAGCGTTTTGGCTATTTTTTCTACTTTTGACTCTTTAATGACATCCCCCCAAAAAATCTACTTCTATTAAAACGTGAATACCTTCATCTGAATCCATGTCATGCTAAATTTAAACCCCTTCGCTCAAAAATATTTTGAACATTTATATTGGAAAATGCAATGTGTGCAGCAGTAATCATTTCAGTAACTCGTGCTTCTATCTCAATATATTTCTTTGGATCGCTCTTGTTTCTCAGTGTTAACTTTACTACACTGTATGTTTTATTTATGGCTTTTGTGGACCTAAAAGCATAAACCGACACTCTTTCCTTTCGATTGGTTTTAAGTCTAAGGGCATCTGCCGAAGATTTTGTTATCCAAGATCTCTCACTGCCGTTATCCATTAACACCTGAGTTAGTTTAAAGTTTTCTTTCAAACAAGCCAGGACAGTATAAGTTAGCAGTAAAACGCTGTCATTTGACCTCCGATGAGAAGAGCTACATTGAGTCACCGCGCTTGAATTCTCTTTCCCTCCTTTGACTTCAGCTGATTTATTACTATTTTCGCATAGCAGGGAGCGGCGAGCTAAGCTGTTTCAGTTCTTGCATGGGTCGAGTTTTGTTTTACAGAATCGCACTAATTGGAATTTTGACGAACAGCAAAAACATTGATTATCTCTTTTTAATCTATTTTTCCTATCCGCGACACTTTCAAATTCACAAAATTCATGTTCTTTGCTATTACAAAATATGCAGTTTCTTTTAACATTTGTAGTATAACTAGCAGTTGATATATTCTGATTAA